CCTGACGCCCACTGTTGTTGGTTTCTACCCAAGTCATAGAGTACCGAGGACCGGGCCGGGGACCCACTCAGCCCACCTGACCACCTGACCCCCCACTACTGTTGTTGGTTTCCCACCTGACCCCACTAGTTGGTTTCAAGTCATAGAGTACCGAGGACCGGGCCGGGGACCCACTGATCCCACCTGACGCCCACTGTTGTTGGTTTCTACCCAAGTCAAAGAGTAGAGTACCCCACTCAACCCACCTGGACCGGAGTACCGGGGACCCACTCAACCCACCTGACCACCTGACCCCACTATTGTTGGTTTCTGCCCAAGTCATAGAGTACCGAGGACCGGGCCGGGGACCCACTCAACCCACCTGACCCCACTGTTGTTGGTTTCTACCCAAGTCAAGAGTACCGAGGACCGGGCCGGACCCACTCAACCCACCTGACCCACCCTGACCCACCTGACCCCCACTCCTCATTTGTTGGTTTCTGCCCAAGTCATAGAGTACCGAGGACCGGGCCGGGGACCCACTCAACCCACCTGACGCCCACTGTTGTTGGTTTTTACACCAGCAATACATTACCGGGGACACGGCCGGGGATTCCTCACATTACCCTTGTGATTTTCATATAAATTTCTTTACCTGCTTGACAGGACCACCTCCGTGGGGTAGTGGTTAGAACGTCCTCCCCGTCCGCGTCATACCAAAAGATGTTAAAATATGGTACGTGTTGGTCCCTGCCTGGCGCTCGGCATTAATGGGTACAACAAGGACTGGTCGGCTCGGAGTCAGTATAATGTGTCTGAGTGGGGTATTCATTCTTAACTCCAACATGGTATCTCAGTAGGCTAGCACTATAAAACCAGCTTGAGTCTGAGCTAGTACAAGCAGACATACATACACACGCATGCACGTCGTCATATGAGGACGACGTTAAACCATTCCACCTCACCGCCTTACTTAGACAGACATGATGCCCATATGATGAATATCTCAATTATAAACTATTTCATACAGTGTTTGTAAACACGCTACAATAATTATATGTTATTAATGCGCTACCATTTTATTCCATAATTCACTAGTGGCCTCGTCAGATTATCTGTAAAATGAAGAGTCAATTAGCAATGAGGATGTTCATTGTTGAGGGCTCCGATCATTTGAAGAGAGGTCATAAATAACAAAACTTGACTTGCTTTGGTTTGGTTTTGATTTGGTTGTTTATTATTCCAGCTATGAACATCGATCTACGCTATTGGGATACGATGGCTCGTGTGAACCAAGTAAGCGAGCCTGACCACCTGATCACGTTAGTCGCCTCTTATGACAAGCATGGGTTACTGAAGATCATTATCATCATAAACCAACACTTCATCAGTTTGGGTATTGATGGGCAATAAACATCAGCATCCAGCAGCCCAATGTCCTTCATCTGTAACACATGTGAGTCTCAAACAACCCGTACTTCAGGTGTCATTGACTGGACATTTAATCAAAACCATCATGATATATCACAATATAGTAATCAATAATCTCTCCATGTAGGGACTTTAATGTAGTTTTGGAATCCAGTACAAAATAGGATTGGATGTACCTTCAGGTTTAAGAGTTAAGCCAAACGTTGATAGCACAGTTGGATGGTTTAGGCAGATTTCTTCCTCAGTTAACATGCTAGCCTTACATGTGGCATTATTTTATATGTCACGTATACCAAGCTCTTTGATCAAATAATTAATGTAACGATGTTTACATATAATGGTTGTGTTATTTGAAGCATTGTCAGTGGGAATAACTACAAAGTTTTCATGCAGGGCAGCCAGACTTTGGATGACAGCTGGCTGGGGCAGAACGGCTGTTTCCTCTTTTTCAGTTTGTGCATTCTACCAATGACAACATCACCTACTGACTTAACCCTTAACCCCTAGGTTTCAAATGTACGCATATTTCAGAGTTTAAAAGTTTCCGTGGAGTCTGAAATAGACTATAGAGAAATGGCTGTGCTTCTCCGCGCATGCTCCAAGGTGTGAAACCAAATCAAACAAGGACGGTTTATTCAGAGTGTCAGCCTTTCCAAACCCTGGCCGGAAGCGACCTACAACCGACATGCGTTTGACGGTCAGGACAACAACAAATTCTCTAGTGTTAATTGTGGTTATTCTCACATTTGTGCTTCTAATTCGAAGAAATTCTATTAATCTTGGTAAGTACTCGATGTGTATGTTTATTAAGTATTTCAACTTATTCCAAACCGTTTTAATCATTCTTGGCATAGATACTGCTTGTAACTTAATACAATTAATTCTACTAATATATCTCTGTAGTGTATTATGCGTGTGCCTGACGTCTTACAATCAGCTTGGTTTGTATATTTCATGCACATAATTCCAGGAACCGGGAAAATCATAATGTAGCTCTATGAGCAGGACCCTGTGTAGTGTGGAAATGTAACGCTATACATATGGCATTATTCATTGTCCGGAGAGTGAGGACTAAGTTACCTTAAGTTCGGGTAGGGTTGTGCATTGATTTATGATTTACATGCTGTGGGTACCGTCATCACATTCACTCCATTGTGTACTCGGGGGAAAACAAAGCATTCTCAAACATAGTAAAACACGTTCAGTACATATTTACGATGTCCAACACCTTCATCGCTAAGGGGGCGGTGAGGTAGCCCGGTGGTTCATGCGCTCGCGCGTCACGCCAAAGGCCGGGTTCTATTCACCACATGAGTACAATGTGTGAAGCCCATTTCTGGTGTCCCCCGCCGCAATATTGCTGGAATGTTGCTAAAAGCGGCGTCCATTTAGAGTGAGTGAGGGTGTTTTTATTCACATCTGAAGAATCGAACCCGGGTCTTTGGCGTGACGAGAGAACGTTTTATCCACTAGGCTACCACACAGCCCCCATACATTTAGACGCCTTTCAGGACAAGCCTATACATTGTATTGCTTGGCCCTATATTCTTACCCAAATCTTCACGTGATACAGATGACTGCGAAAGTATGGCTTTAAATCCAAACCTGACCGGATAGGCCTCAGTCACAAACATCTCTTTATCACTCAACAATAAGGGGCGGTGAGGTAGCCTAGTGGTTAAAGCGTTAGCTCGTCACGCCGAAGACTCGGGTTCGATTCTGGTGTCCCCGCCGTGATATTGCTGGAATATTGCTAAAAGCGGCGTAAAACCATACTCACTCACTCACTCACTAACAATAAGGCTGGCGGTGGACATCATGAGCAACGGTCCATTAAACATGATCTTGATGGCACACAGCAAAGTCAGTCATTGTGACCACCCGATACTCCAGTCAGCTCATACACGTAAAGGATGCAGGGATCATTTTATCACCAAACATTCATTGGTTCACTGGCCTCATCAGATCATCTTCAAAATGAAACGAGAGTCAATTAGTAATGAGGACACTCAGACAGAAGCAACAACACACATGTTGTTTTACGCCGCTTATCGAAAATATTCTATTCTAGACTACTGGACTACGCTTTTTTAGATGATGGCTTAACCAAAGTTGGTTTTGTTTGTTTGTTGTTGAACACCGCATTCCAAAATATTCCAGCTATATGGCGGCGGTCTGTAAATAATCGAGTCTGGACCAGACAATCCAGTCATCAACAGCATGAGCATCGATCTGCGCAATTGGGATACGATGACATGTGTCAACCAAGTCAGCGAGCCAGACCACCCGATCCCGTTAGTCGCCTCTTACGACAAGCATGGGTTACTGAAGATCATTTCTAACCCGGACCTTCCATGTCCACACTGAAAAGACAATACACGCGGAAACAATAGCCCTCCTCATATGTTTACACAACATGTACAAATCTAGATTTTCTTCCCGTTTAATTCCAACTGAAAAGAACTATGTTCTTAGTTCAGGGAGGAGGCGCTGTTCGTGGGTTCGCGTCCTAGATTCATCCCGATTATGATCCTCGGCCTACAAATTGATCGGGTTGTCAGACTCGGAGACTTGCATGGTTGATTGCGAAATAGAAGCCGTGGATCATTGTTTAAAATACACATCACATGGTTGCCTGGTCCAGTCTCGATTATTTACAACCCGCCATCATATCGCGTCAATGAGTGCGTCATTAAACCAAACACACATTTAAAGTTTCGTCTAATCTCTAGACCCTGGAACAACACTCCGCGCAACTAAAGCCTTTGATTGCAGGGTTCTTCGCTCTCTCAGGAATTCTAAAGGTAGAACCAATACCAAATGTCACTTCGTGTTTACAACATGTAACGTTTGATTGCTGGACAGAGCGCCGGTAAACATCTTCCATCATCTATTACCATGACATTTCTCGTCTACGAGGGGCGGTGGGGTAGCCTAGTGGTTAAAGCGTTTGCTCGTCATGTCGAAGACTCGGGTTCGAGTCCTCACATGGGTACAATGTGTGAAGCCCATTTCTGGTGTCCCCCGCCGCAATATTGCTGGAATATTGCTAAAAGCGGCGTAAAACCATGGATGGATCATTCTACCAATGGGCGATTATTTTGCGAACCATTGTTTTGTTTTAACGTGGGCAGTGGTTACGAGTGTTGCCTTGATACTATTATTACAGAATGTTGACTGACGAAAATTGTTTGTATTTTTCAGAAACACTTGGAGGAGCTGTTTCCAACTTTGGAGTGAGTATCCGAAAACGAGAGCAACACTGGTTTGCTGGGGGAAACTTGATGTAAAATTCGGGAAAGAGAAAGCATGCACTTGAACATTTGGAATGGACCCATAAATTGAAAACGGCAATCAAACGTTAATGGTCTGAAAACATACACAGAAACACAACAAACGTAAGGCCAAAACATACCACGATACATGCATGAAATGCATCACTATCGAATAACGCTTTCTCCTTTGTTTCAAATTCAGCCACCATGAAACATGTATACATGTACTTTCTTTTCCGTGTCAGTTTAGCTTAATAATGAGGTGTTGAACAAAGACAAAAACATTATGCTAACTTTGGGTGTTTTATTTAAGCCATGTGCTCTCAATTCTTTCAGGAACGCGTGGAAGGACACAGCACCTCCATTTATCAAACTGAAGATGTTTCTGGAAGATGCTCAAACAAAGAATGCACGAGGTCGGTTCCAGTACGACAGTCACCTAATCCTAGTATTACCACAAAGGATCATGAAGGAAATCTAAGAACTATTGGAAATGATTTAGCTTTCAGAACCAGCCATGTTGAAAAGGAATGTGAAAGGCTATCTGTGTTTGTAACTCCGCACAAAGAGGTTCGTCACATCATGACAAACACTGCGACCAAGCTGGCGTATTGTTACATCCCAAAGTGCGGATGCACCTTCTGGAAGCGAGTGATCCGGTTTCTGAACAGGGACTATGTGGGCAGGAACGTAACTTCGCCCTTCCATATCCGCAGGTTAGACGTCCACAGAGGTTCCTACTACAATCCTGACACCTTCATGTCCTTCAACATGTACAGAAACATTTCAAAGAGATTCAACAGTTTTATGTTTGTACGTGAACCGTATGCTAGGCTGTGGTCGGCTTATGTGGACAAATTTTATTTGCCCGATTTTTGGGGCAATTTTCAAGCTAACCTTCGAACCAGACGACATCCATCTAAAGCATCAAAATGTGTAAGTGACGTCACCTTTCAGGAGTTTGTTAACCTCACTTTGGAAACCAGCGAGCCCCATTGGGACCCCATGCACCAAGTGTGTGACCCCTGCACATTCCAGCCTTCTGCGGTTGGAAGGGTTGAATCTTTTGCCTCAGATTCCCAATACATTCTCCACAGGGCCAATCTGTCTTGGATGCTGGAAGGTTATAACCATGATGCACACGTACAAGAAGAGCTGACCACTTTGATTACTTATAACATTCAGCTTCTGGCTGTTAAGCCCTACACATGGAAATGCATATCGAAAGTGGAGCTGTTTCTACGTCTTTGGAAGGCCTTCCAGATTAACGGCTACCTTCCAGAATACGTGAAACCACCCCCACTTTTCAAGACTACGACAATTGCCGAGTTTACCAAAATTGTCCTCGATCAGTACCGAAGTCGACCGAACACACCCGAGTTGTGGCGAAAACAGCGGAAGCGGTTCATGATTGACGCGTACAAGACACTATCAGCTCAAGCTTTGCACGCACTCAGGATGAAGTACGTTCGTGATTTTATTTTGTTCAACTACAACCCTCAACCAGATGAGATATTTGGTAACAGGCATTGATTAATGTAATACATTTTGCATTTTAATCCTGTGTGTTCGGTCGAAATAAAAATGATCCAACGGCATTTCGTGTCTGTATTCAACATCAGCCCGTTGCTGATATCACGTGACCTAAATACGTCACAAAAGAGGTTCTGCACACGACACCATTGGATCATAATCCACATATCAACTCTGAATCGGCGAAGTTCTGAAGGCTCCGAGGTAGAGCCTGAGACCTTGGTGATGAATAGAATCTAGTATTTATAAATTGCTTTTACAGGCTACACCATAAATGATGGAGCTACAATAAGGTTTAGGACGGATCAGAAATGTTGCAACAATTTAGGGGTAAGGTGAACAAAATCCAGAAGAATGTGATGGTGACAAAGCGACGCTTGATATGTAAGCTCGGTGGTTAATCTTTGCCTCACTCGTCACCCGACTTTTCGAAGAGATTGGTTCAGATGTCTATGCATGTGGAGTGCATGTCGTTGGTCAAATCCAAGATTGGCACTGGACATGAAACACTAGTCGGTCAGCACACCACCCCTTCTTGAAATTAGTCACGATAAACGCCTAGGAACTCGTTCAATTTTGTCCCTTTTTCCGAGTTTACACCGACCCTCGTGGAATAGCTAACAGATTCCTCAAACCAGCGTTAAAGCCATTGACAGCTTGCTCAATACTTATATGTAGATTTCCACATCAACATTTTACCAGCTGTTTCTTGCCATATTGCCCCAGTTCCAAATATATATATATACCAAACACATATCCCATATTGTCTAAATATTATGTTACGATCCATTTAACTGAATATGAACCTTGTTTACTCAACAAAATAGACCAGCTATCATAGGATTATGGTAAATCAAAGGGACGCAACTCCTTATTATTAGTGTGAGTGAATGAGTTAGGTTTAACGAAACAGTTTTCCAACTACAATGTATAATACGCAATGTCTGCTAAATGTGGGAGGACATCACGAAGTGATGGCGGTGTTCGATGTCCAAGGAGCGCAATTCTGCAAAGGGCGAGGACTAGACAACCATCGCTTGCTCCGAGAGATGTATTTATAATCATATTGTGTTTATATATATGAAATGCCATCATTACCTAGGTATACATCACTTACAATGCTAAAATATATATGGGTTGGTCATGGCGTTGCTGTCCACAATTAAATGCCGCAGTAGTACATGGGCACACTATACAGTATACTGACTCCGTTAGGACCGCTCCTTGCTCCACCCCGTTAATGCCATCTGTCAGTCATGGTAACAACATACGCTATACTGAGCCAGGAACGCTCCTTGTTCCACCCTGTAATATCTGTCTGACTCATTCAGGACCGCTCCTTGTTCCACCCCGTTAATGCCATCTGTCAGTCATGGTAACAACATACAGTATACAGACTCATAGGACCGCTCCTTGTTCCACCCCGTTAATGCCATCTGTCAGTCATGGTAACAACATACAGTATACTGACTCCGCCAGGACCGCTCCTTGTTCCACCCCGTTAATGCCATCTGTCAGTCATGGTAACAGCATACACTATGCTGACTCATTCAGGACCGCTCTTTGCTCCACCCTGTTAATGCCATCTGTCAGTCATGGTAACAACATACAGTATACTGACTCATTCAGGACCGCTCTTTGCTCCACCCTGTTAATGCCATCTGTCAGTCATGGTAACAACATACAGTATACTGACTCATTCAGGACCGCTCTTTGCTCCACCCCGTTAATGCCATCTGTCAGTCATGGTAACAGCATACACTATGCTGACTCAGTCACGACCGCTCCTTGTTCCACCCCGTTAATGCCATCTGTCAGTCATGGTAACAACATACAGTATACCGACTCCGTAGGACTGCCTCCTTGTTCCACCCCGTTAATGCCATCTGTCAGTCATGGTAACAGCATACACTATGCTGACTCATTCAGGACCGCTCCTTGTTCCACCCCGTTAATGCCATCTGTCAGTCATGGTAACAGCATACAGTATACCGACTCCGTCAGGACCGCTCCTTGTTCCACCCCGTTAATGCCATCTGTCAGTCATGGTAACAACATACAGTATACCGACTCCGTCAGGACCGCTCCTTGTTCCACCCCGTTAATGCCATCTGTCAGTCATGGTAACAACATACAGTATACCGACTCATTCAGGACCGCTCCTTGTTCCACCCCTGTTAATGCCATCTGTCAGTCATGGTAACCACATACAGTATACCGACTCCGTCAGGACCGCTCCTTGTTCCACCCCTGTTAATGCCATCTGTCAGTCATGGTAACAACATACAGTATACCGACTCCGTCAGGACCGCTCCTTGTTCCACCCCGTTAATGCCATCTGTCAGTCATGGTAACAGCATACACTATGCTGACTCATTCAGGACCGCTCCTTGTTCCACCCCGTTAATGCCATCTGTCAGTCATGGTAACAGCATACACTATGCTAACTCATTCAGGACCGCTCCTTGTTCCACCCCGTTAATGCCATCTGTCAGTCATGGTAACAGCATACACTATGCTGACTCATTCAGGACCGCTCCTTGTTCCACCCTGTTAATGCCATCTGTCAGTCATGGTAACAACATACACTATACTGACTCATTCAGGACCGCTCCTTGTTCCACCCCGTTAAAATGCCATCTGTCAGTCATGGTAACAACATACTTGATGCAGCGCAAACCTCGCCCACTTTAAGGTGGTATTGAGATCTGAACCATAAACGCCAAACAATTAAATGCTATGAATCACTTGCGATGTTTTGATAATGATATGAACTAACAAATAATCAAAGTTGTCTGATCAGATTGAAGGCCAGGCAATTCTGATTGAAGACACTCAGAATCATTGCCTGAATCAAAGCAACGGACATACATAGGACACAAACGCAATGTCTGTGGACCACCTCGGTCTATGGTGATCCTAAACTTAAAATCGAATTTTATTATTCTATGGACAAACACATACAAAACATTACTTAATGCAATAATCGGTTACTCGTAAATCGACACGTCATGTCATTTCATCGTATCCAAACATTTCAAAATCTGAAGCATATTTATCGCGAATTGCTGCGATTGTTGTCAAGGAAAGCGAGTCATATGCCTGTTTCAGATGTAGCTCTTTTTGTTGATGTAAATCAACTGAAGATATATTTTGTCTCTTTGATGCATCCATAAGAAGAGTTTTAATTCCCTTTCAGTGATCGTGTCATGGTTTGACCAGGATGAAGACGTGTGATTCATCCGGGCATTTTCTGTCTTTGAAGGAATCAAATTACAAAAGGGACAAGCTATCACGTTGAAACATGTTCACAGAGCAGTGAGAACATGGATGGATTGAACACATGGTGCACACATTATTATATACAGGCCTATTTTTTAGGAGTTTTAGTTAGAGAACTGCGAGATTTTTCGTGTTAACATGTTACATTTACACATTTCAGAATCAAAATACATTTGAAAGGAATTACAGCTAAAACGTGGATAAAATGCATTTCGTAAGAATTTACACCTAAAACGTGGATAAAATACATTTTGTAAGAATTTACACTTAAAACGTGGATAAAATGCATTTGGTAAGAATTTACACTTAAAACGTGGATAAAACGTTACACCGACCATATACGTAATCTATATTAACAGTAACATTTGCTTGATAACGGTGTTCGGATCTACACTGAAACGTGGCATCTATTGCTGTAAAGCAGTTGCATCCATAACAAGTGTCCCTCTTCATCATACCAGCTTCTAAAGGCCACTTAGAGAAGTCACACTCCATATGTTTGCATCTGTTTGCGGTTAACTTGTGCGTCGCTCTCTGTTCAAATACCTGAGCCATCTTCAAACAAACATGAGCAAACATTATGGATTCCCATCGTGTGTTGGACAAATATACATGTATAATAGCTTCCTTTGTTGGGTTGTGCAGTCTTTTTTGTGTGTTTGTTTTCTCTTTGTATTCATGACAATTTCATAAACAGGGATAATTAAACGTTGTTTATATAAGCGCTTTGGTGAGTGAGTGAGTTTAGTTTTACGCCGCATTCAGCAATATTTTAGCTATATGGCGGTGGTCTGTAAATAATCGAGTCTGGACCAGACAGTCCAGTGATCAACTGCATGAACTTCGATCTACGCAATTGGGATACGATGACATCAACCAAGCCAGCGAGCCTGACCACCCGATCCCGTTAGTCACCTCTTACGACAAGCATAGGTTACTGCAGATCAGTTCTAACCCGGATCTTCACGGCTGTAAGTGCTTTGGGCTCACGAAGGCTTGTAATAAATTCAATATAAATTGATCTATTATTATCATCATAATTATTACCCTTGATGTTGTTAAGAAGATGAAGAAGAAGAAGGCCTACATCAAATAATCGCCATATTGCCAGACGACACCACAAACTGTGTATGTTTGAGCTCTCTGTATTTAACCTCAGCGTTAAGAGAATCGCAGTAAGGAGCTTGAATTGGAGAGATCGACAAAACACCCGTTGCCATGACGACGGGGTGTATTTTTCCAGCTGCACATGACTGCGGGGGGGTATTTTGGAAATGTAACAATATGTTAATGTCAAACACTCCATGGAATACCCTCCGTGTGTCACAATGTGAAGTCAGCGAACCTTTTCTGACTTCATGCTTCAAACTGAACACATTACTGTTACTGTTATAGATACTGGACAAAATAAGTTAGGGATATTGGTATTTTTATGATTGACATTTATTTTATGAGTGTGTCAATGAAAATAAATAGATCATTATTCATAATTTCAAAATTTACATATATCCCTAACTATTTTTGTCCAGTATAGATTACATTTCTACGTACAGTTGATGGTCTCTGGGGGGGTGTAATGTTTTATCCATGTGTTAGGTGTAAATTTTTACAAAATGTATGTTATGCACGTTTTAAGTGTAAATTTTTACATAATGTATTTTGATTCTGAAATGTGTAATTATAACATGCTAACACGAAAAACTCCCAATTCCGGAACAGCAACGCATTAAAAAGATAAATATTCGTAAGAATTATTTGTGTTTTAAAGTCTGAATTTTGTTAA